AGGAAAGCGACTCGAAGCTTTTTGTGAAGAATATCAGATTAAGCACTTCTTCTCTTCACCATATCACCCTCAATCCAATGGGCAAGTCGAAGCAATCAACAAGATTATTAAAAGGGTTAATTGCCAAATAAACCTCGACCTTTTCACTTTTGGCAATTTAATCCAAACTTTTAAATAATTGCAATATAATCTGTACCTTGTCTTACGTTTGCAAAATAGACTTAAAACCCGTCGACCGGCCAAAACATGCCAGCGTGTCCGGCTGTGTTTATCTACGTGTAATTTTCAATTTGCTCAGTCCGATTAATTAAAATACGTGGAATTTCGTACGAAATGAGTATAAATACTCGTTCTTCGAAGATCTGTCGATGTCCCCATCCTAAGGTAGCGAAGGTGTATACCTCCACGACGGACGATAATCCATGTAGAACGTTCTATAGATGTGCTACGTGGAAGGTGAGCTATTTCTTCAAAATTCCCAAATTTCATAAACCTAATTAAAACCCCAATTTCTATAAATCCTAATTTTTTTTGATTTATATTGTTTAGGAAGGGAATGACCACGGCTTTTTCGATTATTTTCTTCAAAATCCCCAATTTTCATAAACCTAATTAAAAACCCCAATTTCTATAAACCCTAATTTTTCGGTTTACATTGTTTAGGAAGGGAAGGACTGCGGTTTGTTCAAATGGATTGATCCCGAAATTTCTCAGTTCCAAAAATCTTGTTTTCTGCAATTGAAATCTAAGAAAGAGTATTTGGAAGAGCAGTTGAGGGGTAAGGTTGCAGTGGAGAAATTGTACTTTGGAAAGGCATTGGAAAAAGATGAAATTGTGGACCGTGACATTGAGTTTGAACAAAAACTGAATGATCTTGAAGTTGAAGTTCGGAAGAACAATGAAGCCGTGCTGGTTATGAAAAATACATTAGGTCTCATGCAAAAACTGGAAAGGAAGATGAATGTTGCAATGTTTTGCTTGATTGTGGTTATGATGATTTTTTTTCTTAGTTTGTTGGGAAATCTGGTAATGAGCAGAGGCCTAAAATGTTGCTTTGAATAGTGTTTTGTTTATCTCATTTTGTAGATGTATTGAACTTAAGAAAGAATGTAATCTATTGTTGTGTTTTATCTCATTGTTATTGTTCTTTTCTTTTGTGCAATCTTTTGTTATGTTCTGAAATTTATGAGATCCAACTTAACAACAAATTATTTATAGAAAACTGAGATCAACATTACAAACAATGATAAAGCACTGTAAACATTATAACAACACTCCAAATTGATTAATAATCTGCTCCAAAGTGATTAATAATCTGAGAACTTCCAAAACAACATCACATAGGTCTTGAGTGCCTAATCTGAGAACTTCCAAAACAACATAGCCTAATCTGAGTGCCAAAAACACTCCACAATCAACAATAGTACAAAAGTAAATCCTTTCTAATCATCCACAGTTCAACAATACTCCAAAATAAACCTAAGTTAATCATCACCTACGAGCAACACTCTCTTGAGTGCCTAAAGCACCCTTAGTCTTCTTCCCCTTATGCATTTTCCCCTTCCCTCCAGTGTTGCTAGAACCAGCACCTCTCTCAGAAATTACATGAACTCTTCTCTCTAATGACAACTGCATTTATGACATTTTAAATAATAAATGAAAATCATTATAAAAAATTAATAGAAAGAAAACTATTAAGGTAATAAACATACCCTCATGTAGGTATTACCAGTCTCCTCAGACTGAAGGATTCCAAATCCCTTTCTTGCCTAAAAAACAAATATAATAATAACTGAGCACATAAACAACATGATATGTTTTCCCCACTTCGCTTCGTTTGTACGGTCAGCGAGTGGAATATCATATCAATTAAACTTTAATAAAATAAAATGCTATTACCAGAGCTCTTTCCTTTAGAGTTAAAGATGATGACTGTTGGCTTGACTTCTTTTTTGACAATGAACTTGTGTTTTCAACTGTTGATCCAACATTCTTCTTGGGCCTCCCCCTTGGATTCTAAAAAAACAATAGAGATTAAAACATGATTTTATTTGTTTTTCAATTTGTTGTTTATCATAATAAGACTTGAAATAGAAATTATAACCTTTGGCTATTTCTCCACTGGAGGATTAGAGCATGACTGTTGGGTTGATCCACCATTCTTCTTGGACCTCCCCCTTGGATTCTAACCAAAAAAATAGGTATTAAAACATGATATGATTTGTTTTTCAAATTGATGTTTATCATAATAAGACTTGAAATAGAATTTATAATCTTTGGTTGTTTCTCCACTGGAGGATTAGAGCATGATTTCTTATTGTGCCCTTTTTGAAAACATCTTTGACAAGTCATAGTCAACACAAACCTCCTCAACTTAGTCCCACAATTCATTTCCTCCTCAGGTGCTCTCTTCCTTTTCTTCTTTGGCCTTCCTGGCATCTTTTTAAAAGGAGGAAGAAGAATAAGATAATCCTGTACAACTGGCCACAATTTCTTCCCATTTATGGGTTCTAATGACAAGCTGTACAATTGCAGATACCTTTCAACTGAGTAGTACTCAGACACAAACTCCACAGGATCCTGATGTTGAAAATTTATTGCAGAACATGCATGTACACATGGTATGCCTGTAATATCCCAATATCTGCAAGTACATGTCTTGTTCTTCAAGTTCACAACAAACTGATCATCCTCATGCACAACCTCAAATCTTTCACCAACAGCTGGTTTTGTGAGACAGAGCCTAGACATGTATTTGTTGTGCTCTAACTTCTTTCTTATTCTAGGACAAATCTTATCTGTATACCCACTATGTCCTAACAACTTGTCATGTTGTCTTTTCATTAACTCACTTCTAACAAACTCAAGCATATCAATAATGTGTTTGCTTTAACCCTTAACAATCATTCCATTGAATGTCTCACTCACACAGGGGCGAAACCAGAAAATTAGTTGAGAGGGGACAAAAGACATGATATAATGGGTTCAGAACCGATAGCGAACTAATTACCGTTACACATAAGTCGGTTCGGTTCGGTTCAATTTTTGATTTTCGGTCAAAAAATACCAGCCCTAGCTTGGGCAATAAAAGAGAGTTGAAGTCTTTTATATGAACCAATTAAAATTGTAGAATGATAATAATTAATATACAAAATTAGTAGTAAAATAAAAGAAGTGTTGAATTTTTAATTGACAATTATGGACAAATTGTCCCGACGAGTGACGTTTGGAGGTGCAAAAATAAATTTAAAGAGGGGTCAAATTAAATTTTTTAATATTTATAGTAAAAAAAATAAAATTTCAGGGGGGGCAATTGCCCCCCTAATAAAAAATAAAATTTGAGGGGGGGGGGGGGGGGGGGTAATTGCCCCCCTAATAATACATCTACATTCGCCCCTGCACTCACATTGTTCTCAATCATATCACATCTAGACAATGGAGAAATGTAAGCATTACAGAATTTGGTAAGATCTCTGTCCATGAAATCTTCATAAGCATCTGTATCTTCTGACTTAAAATCTTCCAAATATATGTTGTAGTCCCCCAAGTGAGTGCTGAGCACAATCTTCCAAAAAATGCTTTTCAGTGTGAGCCCTTTGAAACTTTTCTTCCAATTCATATATACATGTCTTGCACAGTTTCTGTGCTCAGCATGTGGAGCCAAATCTCTCAATGCATTCAGAAGACCCTGCAAAAGGATAAAAAAAATGAAAATTTACAAATTCAGATATGAATAAGTGGAAAAATTCATTTATGAATAAATTCACAAAATTTTTATATGTTAGAGACAGAACTTACTTTTTGTTGGTCTGACATGAAATTATATCCAATACCATCAGTAATTCCAGATCAGTAAACAAAATACTTAGAAACCACCTCCAACATTCCTCATTTTCTGTCTCAACAACTGCCCAAGCCACAGGGTATATTTGATTGTTGCCATCTTTTGTTGTGGCACACAATAAAGCCCCACCAATAAAAGTTTCAAGAAACACCCATCAAATCCTAAAATGGGCCTACAACCACTAATGAAACCCTTTCTCAGTGCATTAAATCCCACATAGAACCCTCTGAATGTTGTTTCTTCACCAAGAAGAAACTCAAACCTTCCATCTCTGTCTACCCTCAACAACTCTGCCATGTAACTTCTCAGAGAAGCATAATGGCCAATTACTGAACCTCTAAGCATCTCAAGAGCTCTCCACTTTCCTCTATAAAGCTTCCACTTTGTAGGCTGTACTGCAAACTTTTCAGATATTATTTCTTCCATTTGGGTAATGGACATGTTTGGATTCTTTCTGAATTTCTCAACAAACTCCTCAGCAATCCACTCTGATGTAACTTGTCTGGTGTGGACATTTCTATGGCATTTGTGCTCCTTGTTCAACTGTTTAATTGCTACACTACCCTCTTTCATAACTGCACTTGCATACAAGGTCCAAGGGCAACCATCAACGCATTTCATTCTCAACTGTTTTTTGCTAGTTTTCAGAAACTTTATGTCCCTCCCTTGAATAATTGCTACATTCCTTACTACTTTTTTCAACTCCTCTATGCTTATGAATCTCATCCCTAACATAAACTCAAGAGTACTATGATCACATTTTGGATCATAAGTAACCATTTTCCTTCTACCTATACAGTTCCCATCATCATCCCTTTCCCACTCACTACCTGAATTTTCAGAAACCAATGCACAATCTACAAACCCAGAATCTTCACTGTCCATCTTCAATGGCCTTCTTTGACTTCATGTTGTCTGCACATTCTCCATCATCCTCTAATATCCCCTTTTTGTGCTTCTTCAAATTCTGTCTTGCCTGAAGATATTCACCATCATCATCAGAAGCAAAATCATCAACAGAAAGTTCATCATCAGATGAGCTATCATCAACAGGAAAATAGTCTTCATCCTCACTATCATCCCCAGACCCACTTCCAACCTCACAGTCACCCACATTGAAAGTAGGCAACTGTGGAGTTTTTAGGTTATTCCTCACTTCTGTATCAACATCACCATCTTTCTGTGACTCAGCTTCTAAATCCACATCATTAGGATTCTTTGGATCAGAGATATTAACATCACCATCTTTCTGTGACTCAGCTTCTAAATCCACATCATTAGGATTCTTTGGAGCAGAGAAATTATCTATATATGAATCAACATCAAATTGTTCCTCTGACCTTGGTGCACTTTCAACACTAGTTTCAACACTAGCTTCATTTTCATTGTTATCTTCCTCTATAATTTCTCCAACCACATAACCTCTAATAATGTTCTTCCCTTAGTAGCGTGGCTAATCATCTCCATAACTACACTATCATCACAACATCTTTAAAGCAATCTGCTCCATTGTTCCTTGGTATACAAGTTTTTCAAACTTTTCAACCCCCAGCTTCTCAACTTCTTCTTTTAAGTCAAAATACTCAAACCTATCCACATCTAAACCATGAACTGTCTTGAATTTACCACCTAAGTACTCAACAGAAGTTCCACATTTAATGAACTTGCCTCCATAGTTTACAAAAATTGAAAATTTTCCACTGCAATGCAAACATATGAATATATAAGATAATAGCAACAAGTGAATTGCATAAGACTCTAAATTTCCCACAAAAAATCCTAATTGTTCAGAAAAGCCCTAATTTCTCCCAAAAACCTAATTTTTTTAGAAAAGCCCAAATTGTTCAGAAAATCCCCAATTTCTCCCAAAAACCCTAATTATTTAGAAAAACCCTAATTTCCCCAAAAAAACGTAATTGTTCAGAAAACCCCTAATTTCCCCATAAAGAACCCTAATTTCACAAAAAAACATAAATTCCAAGAATAAATGTAATTTCTAATCGAATCCTAAATATAAGACCAGACTATTGAAATATCGAAATAAAAATTGCAGAAGAAAGAAAGAAAGAATAGAAAACATTCGGAGCACCTGTCTTTCATCTTCCCGACATATAAGGAAGGGTTATCTCGAACGCAGGACGACAAGAAATCTGGAACGCAGAAACACAAACTCGCATGCAATTGGGACAACTTTGTTGCGGATTCTTGATACAGAGACAAGATTTCAGTTGTAGGGTTTCATTTTTTTTGTCGAGATCGATTTTTCTCTGAAGTCGGGTTAATTTGATTTGGGAATTTCTGAAATTGGGAAGTGGAACGGGTATTTATACTCCTTTCGTACGAAATTCCACGTATTTAATTAATCTGACTGAGCAAATTGAAAATTACACGTAGATAAAACACAGCCGGACACACTGGCATGTTTTCGTTGGCCGACGGGTTTTAAGTCTATTTTGCAAAAGTAAGATAAGGTACAAATTATATTGCAATTATTCGAAAGTTTGGATTAAATTGTCAAAAATGAAAAGGTCGAGGTTTATTTGGCAATTAATCCTTATTAAAAATGGTTTGAAAGTCCATCTTGATGCAGCAAAAGGGTCATGGCCTGAAGAGTTACCACATGTATTGTGGGCTTACAGAACGACAGTTAGTCATTCAACAGGTGAAACTCCATTTTCCCTAACTTATGGATCAGAAGCAGTTATCCCTGTTGAACTCGGATCACCAACTTACCGAGTAATGAATTTTCAAAGCAACACCAACTCGGAAAATCTGAAATCCAACTTGGATCTTCTAGATGAAACTCGTCTCATGGCAGACCTCAAAAATGCTGCGTATAAACAAAGAAGCGAAGGATACGTCAATTCAAAGATGAAGCCTCGATCATTTCGAGTCGGTGATTTAGTGCTTAAAAGAATTACTGGACCAGATCCAGGGCCTTTACAACCAAAATGGGAAGGACCATTCAAGATCAATCAAGTACTCCCAAAAGGTACCTACCGACTTGAGAAGCCAGATGGACTTACTCTTCCATATCCATGGAATGCTGTCTATCTGAAGAAATATTTCCAATGAATGTTCATAATGTAAATATGACTCTGTACACATTTTGATGAATATAATAAAATTGTGTGCTAAAGAGTCTCTTCAGAAGAACCGAGACTTAAACTCGGTACACAGTTAGTCTTGTTGACATCCGAGTTCGCCGATAAGACCGAACCGGACAACACGATTCCGAGAGCCAAACCGGAGACCCGGTCCACCCATAAAGTGCCGAGCTGGACCGGAAAATTTTTTGACCTAGACGTCCCCATGAGTCCGTCTGCTAGTCCGGCGTTTGCGACTACGAAGCCCAGATGCCGACCTGAAGAGTGACGGTCTGGAAGAAAGGTTCCCCAGGGTCGGAGGGACAAGTAAAGAAAAGGTGCCGACCTGGAGTCCCAGGACGGGCTACTGTAATGAAGGTGTCGACCTCGATAGTATTATAATAATGCCACTTGGAGGGTAATCATTGGCTAATGGATGGGACGCCCTAGCCTGTTGACCTATTCCCCCCAGCCAAGACATAAAGCCTGTCAGCATGAAATGCCCGTCAGACAATGATGAGGAAAACCTCAAATCGCATTAAATTCTGTCAGGGAGGCGCCGAACTACTCTGCCAGAAACACTGTACGACAAGACTGATGAACAGTACCTGAACAGTGCCACATTTAAGGCAACTATAAATAGCAGCCCACTTCATTTATTTTGGGTTGTTGAATCTCAACTGTAAAAGCTATCTCTCTCTACTTCCTCTCTCTAAAACTCGTGTGATCACTCTGTAACAATTTGTAAGGATATTGCAAGTTCCGACCTCGTACGAGAGGCCGACCTCGCGATCTATCAATAAAACCGCAATTAAACCGTATTTCCTTGTCTTACATTATTTCTTTTCCATCATTTACCTTTTTAACCGTTGACCGGAAACGCCCGTCAACAGTTTGGCGCTAGAAGGAGGGCATCATAAGTTATTTGGTGTCAACTTTTCGATCTTGTAAAAACTCCACACCACGCTCACCTTTTTCCCCACTTTTTCGCTTTCTAAAACCACTCAAAATGCCTTCATCTGGACATGACGATTCCACCCAGCAATCCGGCTCCCAGCCTCGCCGCCGCAACGGCGGGGAGTCCTCCCGTCGCGTTCAGCAGGGGCCCATTGTCCCCGTACCCCCAGTTCCTACTTTCGCTGCGGCCTTGCAGCACCCCGACGTTCTCAAAGCCCTCGAGGGGGTCTTCGCCAAGGCCCTCGCCAGTCAAAACGCCGGGGCGAACACCGTGGTGCCCACGGAGAACCCCGGCAACACTTTACTCCACACTCCTGAAAAGGAGACCGGTGGACAGAGGAACCCGACGAAATCCAAAACTACGGCCCAATCACCGAACCGTGAGGCCCAGAACCGCCGCGACAGGAGTACCAGACCGGCTCCTACGGAACAGACGGGGGAGAGTCGGCCGGAGCGAAGCCTCCCGGTCGTTCGTCGCTCTGTCCACCAGCGCCTGGGTGACAAGAGCCACGCCAACCATGATCTCCGGGAGGTGATCAGGCGGGGCAAAGCTATCGGCCACGACACTGAGGAAGTCGCGGCCCTCAAACGCAGAATTGCCGAGCTGGAGGGTCGGCAACCCACTGGGAGTGAGTTCTCACTCCCGGCTCATCAACAAACCCGAACGCGGCCAACTCCTCGGGTCGCGGATAACGCCTCGCCTCTCTCCCTCGATATCCTGCAAGAGGCTGTCCCGAAGGGGATACAAATACCCCAGCTCGGCCTCTATGACGGGAGCTCAGATCCCGACTCGCACCTCGGCCTCTATACCTCGTGGATGGACCTGCACGGCGCCTCCGACGCCCTGCGCTGCCGCATGTTCTCCCTGACGTTGGGACCTAAGGCGCAGAGGTGGTACCATTCCTTATACCCCCGCTCCATTTCGACCTGGGCGCAGCTCGGGTCGGCGTTCCGGTCCCACTTCATTGGATCGCAGATCAATCTCGCCCCCAAGGAATCAATCTCCAACATCGTACAAGGCGAGAATGAGAGTTTGAAGGACTACATCGCCAGGTTCAATGACCGGGTCCAAAATATGGAGCGGTGCCACCCCGACGCCCTACTCATCACGGCCCAGGGCGGACTCAGACCGAAGACGCTGTTCAGGTGGTCCCTGTGCCAGAACAAGCCGACCACCTACCAAGAGTTCCTCACCCGCGCTCAGGAATACATCATGGCGGAGGAATCCTCATCCATCCCGACCTTCGACGCCACACCGGCACCGGCACCAGCAAAGGCGAAAATAAAGGAGGAAAAATCGGGAAAGCCAAGCAAGTCCTTTGCTGAGATCCGAGCTCAGCGGAGACAGAGGGCCGAAGAGCTGAGAGAAAGCTATCAGGGCGTCTTCTCGGTGGGTGCCGCGGCGATCTACGAGGAAATCAAGGCCAAGGGGTTATTACCAGACCCCAAACCGATGTTCACCGACAAGGACAAAGTAGACAAGACCCGCTACTGCACCTACCACAAGGCGCACGGGCATAATACCGATCAGTGCCGGAATCTGATCTCGGCACTTTTGAAGCTGATCGATGACCCCCAACTTCGGAAATTCACCCACTCCGGAGACAAGAGAAAGAAAGGGGGGCGTTTTGAGGAAAACCCCGACAGTGACGAGGATGCCGATGTAAATCCTCGGAGAAAGAAACCGCAGCAGGGCGGTCCCCATGAGATCATGACCTTCTGCCCCACCCATCAAGATGAGGCCGGCACCTCCAGGGGCAGAAAGAGAGACCGGTCCCCACGCACCGGGGCCGACCCAACCAACTACCCATCCCGGCGCGTCAACACCAGCCGGAGCGAACCCCTCCTCTCCCGGAGACAGACCAAGGCCTATGCCCGACAGGCCTATCATGCTGGACAAAGGGTGATGCATGCTCACAGCAGACTGGCGCCGGAGCCGACCCCAAACACCATCACCTTCAACGACGAAGATGCCTTCCTATTCGACCACCCTCATTCCGACGCCCTGGTGATCACGGCGCCGATCATGGCGATTAAAATTCATCGCATCATGGTCGACACCGGGGCCTACGCCAGCATCCTCTATTACGAAACCTTCAAGAAGATGGGGATCGATAGGAAGGAGGTACAGCCTTGCCGGGAGCGAATCCAAGGCTTCAATGGCCAGACCATCGCCCCAGTCGGGCAGGTCACACTACCGATCCGTTTCGGAGAGGGAGGGCAGCCCACGAAGACAATCTTAGAGACTTTCAAAATCGTGGACTGCCCGAGCGAGTACAACGCCATCCTGGGAAGGACGGCACTTTACAAGCTGAAGGCCGCCGTCTCCATCTTCCA